CTGTTGTGGCAGATACATTCTTAATGACATGAACTAAATCAGCGACTTTTATCAAGAGGAGAAAGGCTCTTTAAAAGGAGTCCTAGGTTAGGTGAGTGGCTTAAGGAATTTCAGTTTACTATTTCAACACTAGTTAGGCATGGCAGTGCACAAGCAAACATTAAAAAACACTAGCTCTAAAAACTCCCACCTACCTAGGCTGCAATCTTAAGGGCATGCAATAGTAACATAATAGCAAATATAACAAAAACAATATACAGCATTACAAGAGGGAATCGGTCAGTTTTGCCATTCCTCTGGGCATGCAAGAGCCATCTCATAAGCAGAGAGAGAAAATCCCAGGACCATCAAGAAAGAAGAGTGCCAGTGCGGCGTGTGCAAGAACCCTGTCTGAATTGGCAGAGGCACGAGAGGCCATAGCACCGCTGCGACCATGATTTAGAGCAGTGTACCATGTGACTGAGAGACCGAGGACCAGAGTGACATGCCTTCCAGCATGGCTAAGAAGAGGAACTGTGGGCAAAAAGAGTGTGTTCTTACCATTTTGTAACCTGTAGGCTTCTCTAACAACCCCTCAAAATCCTGAGTATTGTCTGTGGGTTCTGTGAGAAGTAGGGTGCTGTGGGGTGCATGGTTGTTGTCAGAGTAGATAAGGATGGGGGAGCTGGGGGGAGGGATGAGGAGAGGCATGTCTGACCTTCTGCCTTGTGGCAAGTGGTGTTAGGTTTGTGTGGAGTTGGGCTCTCCTTCTCCGTCCTGAAGCTAGAAGAGGTCAGATATGGCCCCACGTCATCTCCTCAGTGATTTTGTTCCAGGATCTTAGGATCAACTCTCTACCACTTATAGTCATCTACTTCTGGCCCTTAGTCAGTGAAGTTAAGTTTAATGCCCATTGATGTCCCTCTCAGGTGAAGATGGATAGGTCTTGAGCAAGCGGGTGTTCAGGGGTACTACAATTGGAATTTTCCACCAGAGAATTCACCCCTAGAATGTGTCCTCCAAGTGGATGGCCTTGAAGCTACTCCCTTTTGTCTGCAGATAAGGATGCATTTTGCTCCTTGTTTATCAAGGTAGCTATTCAGAAAGTCAGCATGGCCCTACACATGACAGTCACCATCTCTTTTTAACTGTAGATAACAAAACGTAATGGGCCATAATTAACTAATAATGATAATACCTTTGAGAAGCTTGAAACTTAAGAGGAATATCTACTAAATTCATGTAAAGCCAAATAAAGTACATTCAAAAACTTACACAAGATAGTCTCTCAATGGAAATGATTAATGGAAATGAGCACCACATTTTCATGTGGAAACAGTACTCTATCTGAAACCATCAAGTTTTTAAATATCTGAATTAAAATTTATGGGTCAGTAGAGTAGCTCTCCTAGTTAAAATCACTGTCATATTTAAAAGAAGCAAAGTTGTGCCAAAGCTTAACAACAGAATTAAAACTGACAAAATTCTGATACAATGCCATAAGCCTACTATTAAATAGTAAACAAAACACAAGGAGAAACAACAGCATAATTTTTCAGCCTAAAAGAAAAGCAGGTACCTCTTTCATTAAATAAAATCCTCTTAGCATTTTATCACAAACAGAAAAATCTTTTATGACTTTTTTATGAAGTTCTAAATTGTTCAGACTTAATTTGATCAAGATTTTGTTCTGTTAAGATCCTTGTCTCCAAGGTAAACTACATAAGAATATTATAACTCTCTAACCCAGTAACCGAGGACAATTTTGTTATTTTAGCAGTGAAAAATCTAATTAATTGTTATTTGGCATCGTTAACGTAAAAATTTTATGAATTAACTTATGAAACATTTAGTAGCAAATAGAAAAGACCTTCATCATATCAAACAAAATCCTCGAGCAAATTTATCGATCTCCTTTGTCTTTGTCATATATTTCATACACCGTAAATCTCCCCCCTCTTTTTAAATGAATATATTAATTATTTGACCTACATACACATACACATTCTTCTTTTCATGCTGGAATTACTGTATTCACCATAAAAATCACCTTTCTGTGTAGATGAAGCATATTCTATAATAGCTAACTTAAGTGACATGGAAAATATTTTGCTTTTGTTATAAACACAAAAGACTCTTAAAATGAATTTATTTAATCAGTTTTCCACAATATCAAGGCTACTTAACCTATAAGAACCCATCTGTCTTTAAACCAAATCAGATTATATTTCTTTTTTAAAGGCTTTGTTATACCAATTCAAATAAACAAGCCATAGTTTTGCCACTGTAATTTTCAAGTAAGCTGGCATATGTCAAAGTTTCTCACAGCCAAGATTAAAAGTTTAGAGTTTAAACAGGGAACAAGAAATAGTTTTTCTTGGAAGTAAAAAGGAACTAAGATTTTTAGATAGCTCTATAACAAACATCAGCAACTTGGTGCAAATTCAGAAGCTTAGACACAGTGAGTTCTCTTAACAAAGTAAAACAGAAAAAGTATATACCTTAAAACTCGAGTGTATAAAACATCAGATAACACAAATATGTATGGAACTCAGTATCTTAAAATGACACTCTGTGAAGCCTTCCACATACATTTTCCTCATCTCTTTTATTGGCCCTAGAATGGATGTGGAATTGTGTTAATGTTACCAGATCCATTCTTGGGCCACTATCCGCCCACAAAGTAGGTTTAAATGAGCTCTAACTGGGAATCTTGCTCAACTGACTTCCCGTCTTACACTGTGTACAGCACATTACGTTGTTGAGCTGTGTTTTCTCTTTCCTAGTCTACCATAAGTCTCTTTTCCTCTAACTTTGGGATCTCTTTCCTGTCTGATAGCTAGACCACCAACCGTTCTTTTTCTTCTACTCTACCACCCTAACTCCCCAAGTTGCTCTTCAAAGTTTTTAGGCTACTATTCTGTACCAGTATACCCCAAACTCCAACTCACTGCCTTGAGTCGATTCTGACTCACAGTGGCCCTATAAAACAGGGTAGAACTGCCTCTGTGCATTTCTGAGACTGTAACTCCTTATGGGAGTAGAAAGCATTGTCTTTCTCCCTCAGAGCGACTGGTGGTTTCAAACTGTTGACCTTGAGGTTAGCAGACCAATGCAAAAGCATTACACCACCAAGTAGATGACCTTTTGACCAGTGTAGAGTTCAGGGGTTCTCAGTTGTAAGAGGGAAATAAAGTGTGAAAGGGGATCTCTAATAAATGGAGAAGTTTTAGATCAAGAGCTACAAAATACAGAAAAGCCTTCGCAACATTTTTTTTTAAATCATAGAAAATTTATACAAGCAAAGAAATTTCCTCTAGCAGTTCCTGGTACCAACCAGACTTCCTTCTCTTGGCTGTCTCATGAGATTCTTGCCAGTCTCCTCAAAGAACTTCTCACCATTTCTGGCTCACAACTTGGCTTCTTTATGGGACTTAACACCTGTTCTTGGAAGGGACTATAACACCTCACTGGGTTGTACATGTGCTGATAATGGTGAAAAAAAGGCATCCCACAGCATAGTTCACAAAGACAATCTTTCACATCCTACTCTGCTGAGGGGTGTCTGGGGGTGTTAAAGCTTGTGAGCTGCCAACTATTGGTCTGCATCAAGCACAAGAGAGTGGTGAAAACCAATGACCAATGGCTAGGAGAACAACATGGACGACCTGGGCCACTGTCAACATGACCCCAAGACAAGAGAGGAAGATGGTGCTCAGCTACTTCTGCCGGCCACTGTGACTAGGACCCAAGGAAAACAAGAATGTCTCTCAAAAAGAGCACAAGACAATTGTTAAACAAAAAATGGCCCTGACAGACACTGGTGATAGGACACCCTTTTGACGTCATGCCCAGAGAGAGCATCTAGCAGCCAAATGATGAGCAAGCCCATAAAATAAGCATTAAACACCGGAAAGCAAGTTGTCCTTTGCAACAATCAAGTGATACACGATGCAAAGGACAACAGTTTCCCCAAAGCAACAACGAGAAGACAGGACAGGGCAGAAAAGCAGGAAATGGAGCGAGAGCCAGAGGGGAAATGAAGAGCGTGCTGGTGCACTGTGGAGAATGCGGCCCGTCAGGCGACACTGTGCAAACCGCCCGATGGGAAACTAGGGTTCCCTGTGACTTTCACCGAGAGCACAATGAAAAATAGCTGCTGTTTTAAATGAAACCCTTGGCCAGTTCAGTATTTTCTCCCTTTATCATGAGGTTGCTTTGCAGAGCCAATTGTGAAGGTTTTTGCTTTCTTTTTATTAAGATGTCATTTATTCCTCAAGGCTGAAACCCTGGAACTTCATCTGAAAGTGCCTGAAGTCCTCCCTTCCAGCCAGCAGGGTTGTGTCATGTGCAGATCCCAGGTTGTTAATAAGCTGTCCCTCCGTCCCGAGGCCAGCTTCTGCATTTAGCCTGCTTCTTGGATTTCTTGTTCAGCGTATAGATTGGATACATAATGGTGGATAAACATGATACAACTCTGATATAGAATATTCTTGATTTAAGTCATGGAAATTTTGAGTGTTTGAGACTTTTTGAGTTAGACCTGGGACCTTTTAAGGGGACCTATGGTATGGCAGACATCAAATAGGAGATATCAAAATTCACTGTTAATAAACAAGGACTGTACCAATTCTATAAAAAATCCAAAAGAAAATTCACAGGCTAAGCCTATGAGTGAGATGTCATTAGTATATATGGGCAGAGATTGTGGACTGACTATTGTTTTAAATGCACCTATGTAAATCAGACTGCTTAGCAAGATTTTTGCAGTAAAACAGATTTGTGTCTCTGGTCCCAACATTTCAGTTGCTACTGTCTGACGTGCTAGTTTTAAAAGAAATCATCTCTATGACTTAGACCAATGTGTATGACATGATCAAAATATGCAGGAGATCAAATACACCTCTCAAATACCTTCACTGTAAGTTAAATAAACATGCCTGCTCCCTCAGCAACTGTCACATAGTCATCTTCCCGAATTTTAGTGAATTTTAAAATTTAATCGAGTTGTTGCGACCTACTTTGTTTGGTGTTGACCAAGATCTGAAGTTCGGTCTGCTCGCTTGGGTTCAGGGTGTCCACATCTGTATTTATCACTGTGGAACCATCAGTTAGAGAATTGCTAGACCCTGGGAGTAAAAGGAAGTAGAATTTTAAAAGTGCATATTATTTTTAAAGTGATAGAACATCGCTCCCAGCTCTCGGTGGAATGCGCTCTGCTAGTAGAAGCAGCTCACCTTTCAACACAGAAAAGAGAACATTTGAAGACCCTTCAGTGCCTGCTGGAGGCAGCGTGACAGAATGCACCGCTACGTTAGGTTCCACCACGGGTTTGCTGTCCAAAGTCAGGGAATACGTTTCCATTTGCTCAATAAGCCTGCAAAGAATAACACACAGCATAGTATTTCAAAGATTTTGTTTTAAGATCACAGGCGAGTTGTCTGTCCCACTGGCCAATGGGACAACCTGACCACAGAGCTCCTGGGATTGCAGCCGCTTTGGCGCGGCCCGAAACGCCAGTGGATTCTCTTCACTGACCCTTTTTTGCTACACATGCGGCTGTTTTAAAGCTCGGGGAGGCTGTCTCCTCTGAAAACAGTCTTCCGTGCAGCTGGCAGGAAATTGGAACTCAAGAGGGGCAGATTTCTATCTCTCACTGCCATGGAGTCAATCTGGAACCACGGAAGGATAGAGCCCGTTCACTGCCTGGGCGATGGACAGGGCACACTTCCACGTTGGCTGTTCCCACTCTGGCTCTGCTCAAAGTAGATGGAAGGAAAATGTCAGGCAGTGGGGGAAACCTGTACCTTCGGGGTTACCCAGGAAAAGCCACAAGTCTTTATCTTTTTCTTGTTTCCTGTGAGAAACCTGTGCCCAAGTCCTGTTTTTGACAAAACAAACAAAAAAATTGGTTTAGGACTCTTGGTTCCACCTAATTTTCCCAAAAATGGAATTATTTCATTACAGTGTAGTTTTCTGTATCCCCAAATCCTTACTTTTTTCCACTACACTGTATTGCCCTTCTCCAAGTGAGATAAAAAAGAGAGCTAAAATAATGAACAATTGCTGATAAATATAATGAAATAGCTATACAGAATGAAGCATTCATGTAGGCCTCTTTTGCTTTTTTAATCACCTTTTGGTTGCCATGGGGTTTATCTGAATTGAAATCAACACAGGGCTTGTTTTGTTGTTATTGTTGTTGTTTTTAAGATTTGCACCGTTCTATGTATCACCAGCTTGTTTTCAGACACACTCATGTTCAAAATGTGAATGCTTAACCCAGTTGCAAGATGTAGGCAGAGACCTTGGCATCGTTACCCGTACTTTATATGCAACGTCGACACCGAGTTTCCGAAAGAACACAGCTAACAGGTTCTCTAGAAAGGATTAGTCCTCCAGGACAGGATGTCCAACAGAGTCCATGAGCCTTCTAACATCTGGTTTCAACCCTAAAATTACACGAACGTTGTACATAAGCCATTTTTCTTTTCAGGAGATGAGACAATGGTTTTAGATTTTTAGAAATTGTAGTCAGCGAAGTGCAGGTGGACGGCCAAGGCTTTCATCTGCATCCAACACCGTCAATCAGTTAGTAAATCCACAAGAGATATGTAGACACCTCCCTTCATGCGTTAACATAAGAAAACCAGCAACCCTTTGGCAAGGTTCTTTCTGAATGGAAATGGTGCTTACGTTTTAAAGGTATTATTCTCATCAAGAACAGCAGCTTGTTGGAAAACATTTTCACTGGCGTCCAGAAGCTGACTCACCGTTGTTACAGCAGTTTTCTTTGCCTACCAAGGAGAGAGCACCAATAATCATATAAGACGTATATTACACATCATCATCTCTATCATCACCAGAAGGTACTTTGGAAGTAAGAGGTACCATTAGGATGGCAAGGGAGGGTAAGTCCCCCCCACCGAATTAAAGGCTTGGTTGCTGGTGTTGGTAAGGTGGCAGAGAGACCCAAGGTAAGGCATATAAATTGAGGTGGTCAGTTAGGAGACAGGGTTTTGAATTTGACCTCCTAGCAAGGTCTTTGACAGAATACTTCCCCAAAGCAACAGCTTGGGTGTAACAGCTAAAACAAAATGGAAAGAATGCAAGGGCTCTGGTGGTTCCAGCATTCCAGCCCAGGGCAACTAGCATAATGCAGAAAACTAGCAACTAGCAGAAAACTCCTTCCAGGCTGTCTTCCACCTGGAAAACCTCAGGGGAGGAGGAGGAGGAGGACAGCAAAGTCTTCACCTTTGTCACCCTCAAACTGCCCCCTCTGGGGAATTGCTACGCTTCTGCTTTACTGGTGATTCCTCCCAAAGATCCACATTTGGTGGCTGATATTGTTCTCTTTCAATTCTGTTTCATCCATTTTGTTATTTACATCCTACCACCCTACCTACTGGACCCCGTCAGAAGGGGTGACGTGACAATGACTGGCTAGTAAATTCGTGTGCAAGGTTTCAGCAGAAATTTATTATTTTAAGTAAAATATCCCAGTAGTTAGTTACAACAGCAAGAACACTCTTGCAAGCTCAGTTTACATGCATCAATATACCTGCAAAGCTAAAACACTATGCTAACTTACTCTTTGAAACTTCTGTTCTGCTCTGGTCAGAGCTGTAATTATTACCCAATTACAGTGATCCTGAATCATAGAGTTTAGTCCACACATGTTCCAAGCATGTGCCATTTTCCTTGCTACTGTTTTTTAAAACTCATTTTATTGGAGGTTCATACAACTCTTATCATAATCCATCCATCCATCCATTGTGCCAAGCACATCTGTACATTTGTTGCCATCATCATTCTCAAAACATTTGCTTTCTACTTGAGCCCTTGGTACCAGCTTCTCATTTTCCCCTCCCTCCTGAACCCTTGATAATTTATAAATTATTATTAATTTGTCAGGTCTTACACTGTCCATTGTCTCCCTTCACCCACTTTTCTGTTGTATGTCCCCCAGGGAGGGGGTTATATGTAGATCCTTGTGATGGATATCCCCTCTCTCCCCCACCTTCCCCTACTGTTTTTATAGTCACCAATTTTGTCAGATTTTCTAGTGAGTTGACTACAGGATTGTAGTAAGTAGTATTTGGGAGCCTCTAGCATAGCTCTTGAGAATGGAGTAGTAACTAGAGGAAAAGGAGGAAAAAACTTAAGGGGTTTTTACTCTGTTACTAAAAGTGTTGTAATTAATAAAGCTGCATGCAATTCATTATATATATTATAAAACAACTTTGTGGTCAATATTCATATGATCTAATAAACATTGCATTTATGTCATTGCAATATATTTATCACATTACTCTATGATTAAAATCGATAGTAAATATTGCTAATGCTTCTGCATGGTCTGTTTCAAGAATAGGTCCATGATGGAGAAACCTCGTGAGTTACCACCCTGGGAGACACCATGAGGTCACGTGTTTAGATAAAACATTCAACAGGAATTGAAGAAAGGAGCCAATATTTTCAGAGCCTGTTGCTATCCCACTGGTTGACACTGGATCAGCCCGTATTGGGGGTCTATAGTCGTGCTTGCCCAAGGTCCAATCAGTACTGATTGTTAATTATCGACTATTGTCATTATTTTCAGGGAATGCAATTTAGTAGGTTATTTGAAGTGTAAATCAGGTTTAAAGTTTTTCCAAAGTCAAGTAAAAACCCAAATCGACTTAGTAGAAACAGATGGTCATTTAAGACCACATATTCCAGAGTGGGTGACTTGGAATAAAGCTGATAAGGTTAAATGTAATTGGTAACCTCCTTAATAAAGTGAAATAGACTTATTTGTTCCAGGGTTTTCTGGAAGAATTAAGATGCTAATGTTATTGTGACTATCCCAAAGGTGAATTTTGAACAAGGAGTCCTTCTTTTTCCCTTTGAAAATCTCTCAGAAACAAAACAAAAACATTTGAAAGCAACCAAACCATTCCAAATTCTGTTTCATGGCAAGTGTTGGGGTCTGAGCTCCTGGTTTTCTCTTTCACCTTAAAAAAAAGCTCCTCTGGCTTTACCTCCACTGTAGCTTTTCTGGATTCATTGAAGAGCTGTCCAACCACATTAGCAGCTGCGGTGATGTTATCGGCAGTTAATTTGTTAGCATCAGATGTTAAAATCTGGGCTTCCACAGAAATATTATCTGAAAGCTTTGAGATATTTTCTATCTGTTAAAAACAAAATACAAAAACCACGCTTTATGTAACTGTGTCTAAATGCTTTCCAAGTAACTGCAAAGGCATAAACAGGGCTCTACCCGAACCTCAGGATTCCTACTCTTATAATGGGTTACACATTGGGCTGCCAGCCTCAAGATCAGCCGTTCAAAACCAACAGCTGCTCCTCAGGAGAAAGATGCCTTTCACTTCCACAGAGATTTCGTGTTAAAAACCCACAAAGGCAGTTCTACTCTTTATTCTGTATGGTTGCCATGAGTTGCAATCGATTTGATAGCAGTGAATTTGGTCGTTATTTTTATTTTGGGGAGTTACCTGTCTCCTGGACATCACATCCGCTCAGTGTTTCCTATTGTTGTTTATTTCTCTTTGTAAAGGACATTGTACATGCAGGTCAGTGGCTTCTTAGAGCATAACTCCTCAAAGCGTGGTCTGTGGACCAATATCAGTGCACCATGTGTTTTAAGTCGACATGCGATACGCACCGAACTGGAATGATGTGTTCAGAAACTCGTAGCATCTTTATGGTTTTGTAGAAAGTAAATAAATTTGTATTTATGAGTCTTTATATGTATAATTCTTTCTATTATGTATATAAATTTTTTTATTGTAAAAAATGTTTTTGATACAATATTTCATTTGCCAACTCAACATTTTTCACACATACAATTTAGTGACAATGACTATATTAACCATCTTGTTCAACCATCACCAATGTGCATGGCTAGGTTTTTATCAGAATAAACACAAAATCAAGCAGCCTTGGTGGCATAGTGGGCTACAACTGGGCTGGGAATCACAAGGTCAGAAGTTTTCATCCATAAGCTATGCAGGGCGAGAAAGAGGAAGCTTTCTGTTCTGGTAAAGTTCAAGTCTTGGGAATCCAAAGGGGAAGTTCTGCTCCGTCCTGAGTCAGAACCGACTCCCGGGCAGTGCGCTTCCTGGGGCCTTTGTCTTGGTTTGGCTTTGATAAACAGAGAGTCAACAATTCCTGAACACGGGCTCTTCTCCCCCTTTCCAGCCCTGGTGACCACTAATGAGCTTTACTCTCTCTCTATTTGCCTGTTCTAGATATTTCATATAGGTTAGATAACTTGATAGATGTCTTTTTGTGACTGACTTGCTTTATACTCTGTTTAATGTCCTCAAAGTACATCCATGTTGCAGTATGTAGCAGGATTTTATTTCTCTTTATCTCTGAGTAGCAGTCCATGAAGTGTGTGTGTATAACATATGTATCTACAGATGCATATTGCATTTGATTTACCTTCTCAGGGACATTTAGGTCGTTCCCACCTTTTGGCTCTTGTGGCTCGTGCTACAAGGCACACTGGTGCACATGTCTCTGCCCGTGCCCTTGCTTCCAAGCGCTCTGCACACAACTAGGAGTGGAATTGCTGGGTCATGTGGTAGCTCTATGGTTAACTTCTCAGGAACTGCCACCTTGTTTTCTATAGCAGCTATACACTTAGCATTCCCACTGGCAATGGATGAAGAGTCCCGTTTCTCCATCTCCTACCACCGCGTGTTTTCTATTCCTTTGTTTTATCTTAATACTCCTATTGAGGGGGAAGCAGTATCTCATTTTGACTTGCATACTTTGGACATGTTGACAGGAGAGACAGTCCCTGAAGAAGGGGTTCATGCTTGGTAAAGAGGCATTGAAAAGGAGGAAGGGCCCTAACGAGATGGATTGACACGGTGGCTGCAACAATGGGCTCAGGCATAGGACAATGGCCAAGTCGGCTTAGTGATTTATTCTGTTGTGCGTGGGCTTGATATGTGTCAGAACCGGCTAAACCAGTGGTTCTCAACTTGCCTCATGGCGCGACCCTTTCATACAGTTCCTCATGTTGTGGTGACCCCCAAGTATAAAATTATTTTCGTTGCTACTTCATAACTGTAATTTTGCTACTGTTATGAATTGGGTGACCCCTGTGAAAGGGTCATCCAACCCCCAAAGGGTCACGACCCACAAGTTGAGAACCTCTGGGCTAAATGGTACCCACCACAGCAACCATGGAAAACAAAGGAAGCGTGTGGTGCAGGGGATAAAGAACTCAGCTGGGAGGTAGCTGAGGTCAGGAGTTTGTCCCCACCGAGGGGCAAAGATGGTAGTAGTCAGTTTCCTTTTGGTTTGTAACGTGGGACACTCCGTGGAGCCACTCTACTTAGCGAATACGGTCATTACGCATCAGAATTGACTTGAAGGCAACGGGGGTTTGAATGGAGGAATGGCTGGTGGTGTGGGGCATCTTTGTGTGTGCTTGTTGACCATTTGTTTATATCTTCCTGGATGAGATGTCTTCAAATCCTTTGCCCAGTTTTTGATCGTGTCATTTGTCTTTTTGCTAATTTATGTGAGATTTTAAAATATATTCTGGATATTAAAATCTTATCCAATAAGTGTTTCCAAAACTTTTTCTTTAAATTTATAGGTTAATTTTTCACCCATTGTCAAAGTCCTTTGTGGAACGAAAATTTAAAAAATTTTAATTTTAACCAAGTTTTTTTTTTACCTTGAACAAAGCACTTTATATATACTGGTTCGATGAATTCTCATCATAAATGGGACCGTAGATAGCTGGCTGAGGCTTGGCATGGATTCTGCATATCACAGATACAGGATGATTTTACAAATGCCTGGGAGAAGTGGATTGGAAGGAACAGCTTAGAGAGTGCCAGGGAGAATGTGGCATTTTGGGATAGATATCTGTTTGGGAAGACCATATTAGGAGGGAGCTTAGAGAACAAGATAATAGTTTTGGAGCATCATGGGTAAATTTGCTCTTGTCTGTCCGCTATGGAATTGTCTGATCTGATGTCTATCTAGATGGGAACTGCTTCTTTCTTTCCTTTTCTTGGACCATTACTTGCTGGTTGGCTGGTCAGAAGAGGTAAAAAGGATGGAGTGTGGAGACCTGTCTAACCTCTGCCTTGTGATAATAGGGAAGCCAAAGGAGGTCAGATTGGGTCCCCTCCGTATCCTTAACTAAGGCGTCTGTCGTTTAAGGATGCCGTCTGTTTGGCAATCTCTCTGTGGTTGGGCTGTCACGCTGTCGGTTCTTCTCTGTCTTCAGTTGGGAGTCCGTCCACCTATTCGTGCCTGCTCCTTGGAAGGAGACTGTCTGTTTGTACAGCTCTGATATTGTCTGTCTCTCTGTGCAGCAAAATTTGCCTATCAGACAAGGGTCAGTCTAATTAACTGTGGCTATGGTGGCTTGAACCTGTTTGGATGGCTTTTGTTCTTAGTATCCACCCATCTCTCTGTGTGGACATCTTACTGTCTGAGTGACGGGGCCGTCAGATACAGAGGGAGAGACTAATCCACCGTGTGATGATGGAAGGCAGTCCCCCAAAGTCAAAGACCAAGCTAGCCATTTCCCCCTCAACATTGGGGACTGTCTCATCCAGCCCCTTGGGTTTAGGTCCGTTATTGATTTTCTTGCTTGAATCTGCCCCTTGCAGCCCTCTCAACTATGCTACAATTATCGAGGCAAGGCCCCCATATTCCCCACTCTTAGAAACTTTTTTTTGGATCCAGGCTCAAGATTCCTATTCCCAGCATTTCACACAAAAAGCTCATTAGCAGTTGGCGGAGCAGTCCAGGCAGTAATGTGAGGCCCCAGGTAGGCACGCCGCTCCATTCACACCCGAGTCCACTGGACAGGTGGGTTCTGAGGCCCCTTAGGTCCTCCAATGTGCAGGTTGAAGCCCAGTCCACTGGTCTGGATTCCGTCCACCACATCTTCATAAGCACCTGGCCAGTCAGGGCCTTGGTTTGCCGGAGCCACGCTGGAGGCTGTGTGCTGTGGGTCCTGGATCAGCCGGGGTGGCCCAGAGCCTCTTGGCGCGCGGTGTCACTTGGCTATAAGCACCTCACACACTTGCTTCTGGCCCAGGACCCACAGGGGCGCCTCGCTTCTGCACCACGGGTAAGTGTCGGCCATGGCGAGGCGACACCTGTGGCTACACCTCTGAGTTTAATGTATCTATATTGCCTTTTGCTGATAGTGCTTTTCGTGTTCAGAGAGCAATTTCATATAGTAAATTTTGCTATTGAATCTAACGCTTTAAAAATTGGTTTATATTTCATATATTTTGTCCTTTCATTTTTCTATAATTTATTTTTATTGCATTTTATAAAACTGTTGGTCTTCAATATATTGAAATTTTCTTAATTTTTTTAAAATCATAGATTGGGAGCCACTGGCCTAGACAAGCTCTTCGGATACCATTTGGCCCGATGGCTCTCTTGTGAGTTAAGACGTGTTCACTCGTGTTGCCATGCTTGGAGTTGAATGTCAACATGCATGTGTTTTACTTCTCACTAGATGGCAGCACTACTTCAAAAGTTAGGCCTAGGATGCCCATCCAAATCCCACGGCCATCTAGTCCATTCTGACTCCCGGGGACGCGGCCTCTGGGCTGTAAATCTTTCGCGAGCAGACTGCCGCCTCATTCTGCCAAGGAGCGGCTCGCGGTTTCTAATAGATGACCTTGAGGGTAGCGGGCCAACACTTAGCGGACTGCCCCTTCATGCTTAGGGAAGAATTAGAAACAATAGCCATTCAACAGGCAGACAAAACAAATGATTCTATATCATTCAATTACCAGGTGCCAGAGATGCGCTAGGGGCTACATGCTTTAGATGTGCTATCAGATTTAAAACACCATGTGTTGAGCACTCTTATGCCCCTTCCTCATCCGGCAAAGACTCGGGAGATTGAAGAGCTTGTCCAAATGCACGCAGTTTACAAGAGACAGACGAGTGCCTCGCCTGGCTGTAAATCTGCAGTCTCTCCCTGTATGTCTGGCAGCCACGCCTAGCCCCACCTGTGAGAAGGCGGCTGTGTGGTCCCCCCACCCCCCGCAGGTACATGACTCTGAAAGTGATGGCCGCCCTACACTTCCCTGGGAAAATACTCAAACTCCCCATGCCACGGTTTTCTCATCTTTAAAACTAGTATTTTTGTGACTGTAAAGGTCTCCGGGCAGTATAAGCAGTTTGCACGCAACTACTAACCTCAAGAGTCACAATTTAAACCCAGCCAAGAGCCCCACAGAAAAAAAGGCATTCAATCTGCATTTATAAAGACTACCGCCAGGGGAGCACTTCGATCCAATCCCATTGGAACCTGTTTTCCTAGCCTTAGTCTGGCAACCAGGTGCAAACTGAAGGCACCCCAGAGCGTATTTTTAAGCCCTTCACAGCAACATGTACAAGTTCAGGGGTATGGTTACAAGAATTAAATATGGTAAAAGAGCTTTTTAAAAACCTCTTGTCAGCACTGACACAACACACAATACTCCTCTGGTCCCTTGAGGCTGCCTCACCCCCCACTATCATGACCCCAGTGTTCTTCTCACTCTGGACTAGTACACAGGTATAGATAGAGATAATACTCGGCACACGGAATCCGGAATCCGGAACAGGAATGGGAATAGCGATACCAGAAGGGGAGGGGGAGGGGGGGAAACCCATCGCAGTGATGGACACATAACCGCACACCCCCCTCCAGGGGAAGAACAACAAAAACCATAGGGGAAGGGAGACAGCGGTCGGTGTGAGAGATGAAAGTAATAATGATTATAATCTATCACGGGACCACGAAGGGGGTGGGGGATAAAGAGGAGCTCAATCAAAAAGTAAACGTCTAGAAAAGAACGATGGCAACATATGTACAAATATGCCTGATACAGTAGCTGTATGGATTGTAACAAGAGTTGTAAGAGCCCCCAATAAAATGATCTTTTAATAAATAAAAAAATAGACTGTATATTGAAAGTTAAAAAGAACTCTCATCAGCACCCCCAGTTCTGATTCATGGTGACCCCATGTGTTACAGAGTCAAACTGAGCTCTGTAGGGTTTTCACAGCTATAATTGTTAGGAAAGAAAATGACCGGGTCTTTCTGCTGTAGCCCAGCTGGGTGGGTTGGACGTGCCCAGCTTTTGATTAGTAGTTGAGCTCAAATGCTGTAAGCTGCCCAGCGTCCTTGATAAAATAACACACGTAACATGCTCTGCAGAGGATTTGGCACACAGTAAGTGCTCAATAATTGGTGGGCATTATTAAATGTAATTATCTACAACATGTGAATAACATCTACCTCACAGAGATTTTCTAGAGATAACACACGTAACGTGCCTGGCACATACGTGGGCCTACATAAAAATGTAAGATTTCCCCCCTTCTTCCTATCCATGGTTGGCCTAAGTACTAGCTCTTCGTGCGTTTGTTTCAGCATTTGATCCCCAAACACAATCTAGACTGCATGAGATGTTCTTCTCATTGTCTTTCTCAACTTGAGCCCAGCAGCACAGGCTACAAGTTCCCTCGCTCGGTGGTTTTCGGTCAGAGTTTTTGTTTGTTTGTTTGCTTCTTCATTTTGACACGAGAGACCACCCAAAGACCTTCCTTTCAGTCTCCAGTGTCTAGTGCTATGTATTGAACATGTGTTGTGTATCTTAACATACTACTGGAAAGGAGGTCTGGTGATGAAATGGTTAATTCAACCTTTGGCTCAGTGGTTTGCACCTCCCTGTGCCTCCGTGCTCCAAAGGAGAACAGACCTGGTGATTACAGGAAACCATATGGAGTAGTTCCCCTCTGTCACATGGGACCACCATTAGTTGGAATCCACTCAATGGAACCACCCCCACCCCACCCCCCACAAAAAAACAAACACCAAAAAACAAACCCACCATCCAGTGGATGTTGACTCATATCAGCCCCATAGGGCACCGTAGAACTGCCCCTGTGCGTTTCTGACTAACTTTTCTTTTTAATCATTTTATTGGGGGCTCTTACAGCTCTTATCACAATCCATACATACATCCATTGTGTCAAACACTTTTGTACATTTTTTGCCATCATCATTTTCAAAACATTTTCTTTCCTCTTGAGCCCTTGGTATCAGCTCCTCATTTTTTCCCCTTCCTCTCCCACCCTCCCTCATGAACCCTTGATAAATTATAAATTATTATCATTTTCATACCCACTATCTCCCTTCACCAAATTTTCTGTTGTTCATCTCCCTGGGGGGGTGGGGGGGTTATATGTCTATTATTGTGATCAGTTTCCCTTTTCTCTTCCCACCTTCCCCTTCCCCTCCTGGTATCTCTATTATCATTATTGGTCCTGAGGGGGTTATCGGTCCTGGATTCCCTGTGTTGCCAGCTCTTACCTATACCAGTGTACATGCTATGGTCTAGCTGGATTTGTAAGGTAGAATTGGGGTACGATAGGGGATGGGGGGGAGGAAGCATTAAAGAACTAGAGGAAAGTTGTATGTTTCATCAGTGCTATACTGCACCCTGACTGGTTCGTCTCCTCCTTGTGACCCTCCTGTAAGGGGATATCCAATTGTCTACAGATGGGCTTTGGGTCTCAACTCCACCCTCCCCCTCATTCACAATGATATGATTTTTTGTTATGGATCTTTGATGCCTGACACCTGGTCCCATTGACACCCCATGATCACATAGGCTAGTGTGCTTCTTCCATGTGGACTTTGTTGCTTCTCAGCTAGATGCTTATTTATCTTCAAGCCTTTAAGACTCCATATGCTATATCTTTTTATAGCTGGGCACCATCATCTTTCTTCACCACATTTTCTTATGCACCCATTTTGCCTTCAGTGATCATGTCAGGAAGGTGAGCATCACAGAATGCCAGGTTATTATAACAAAGTGTTCTTGCATTGAGGGAGTACTTGAGTAAAGGCCCAATGTCTGTCTGCTGCCTTAATATGTAACATATAAGTATATGCACACAGATATATTTCCCTATCATTAAAAATAAATATATTTACATATGTACATGCCTGTATTTAGACCTTTATAAATATCCTTTGCCTCCTAGTTCTTTCCTTGATTTGCTTCTACTTTCCTCTTTTCCCACTATCATTTTACGCCTTCATTTGGGTTTCAATAAGTCCTCTGGGCTACATTGCCCTTGATCAAGCCTCACCCTCCTCACCATTGATTTTTAGATCACTTGTTGTTCCCTTGTCCCTGAGTTTGTTGTCACCTTCTTTCCTTTCCCCCATCTCCCCTTCTCCCGTTTCCCCTGGAATCATCGGTCCCATTGTTTTCTCCTCTGGATTGGTAATCACGCCTATCTTATCTAGATAGACATGCAGAGACAATAATAAGTACCAAAACAATCAGAGCAAAACAAAGCAACAAAAGAAAACAAACAAACAAATAAACCAATCAGCAGCAACAACAAGAAAGAAAGAAAAGCCTATAAATAGTTCCAGGTCTGTTTGTTGACTTTTAGGAGTGTTTTCCCTTAGAGTCTGATGGGGTGCCATGCCCTGGCCCCAAAGTCTATTTTTGGTATTCCCCAGGGAACTCATTGCTTTGTTCCCCTTGCTGCTCTGTTGAATGCCCTTAGTGTTTTGCCCAGTGTGGTGGGGTCAGATCTGGCACAGTTCCTGCACTGTGTCTCCAGTGTTGTCCCCTGTAGTGCTATGGGTCAGTAAGGGAAGCTGGTGACTATAACTCTTAAGAAAAGTAGAAAGCCCCTTCTTTCTCCCGTGAAGCAGCTTGTGGTTACGAAATGCTGACCTTGCAGTTAGCAGCCTTACGCTTAACCACTACACCACCAGAGCTCCTCAAGGGCACATGACAGTGAAATACTTATGCTGGTAGTTTGCGGATGGAAATCTCACTGAGGAATATGGGTTTCTTTATGTTGATGAGGTCATATCCGCCTTAGAGTATATTTTAAGCCAATCGATTTTGACATATAGAAAGAGCATATTGGGCACAAATGGGGAAAGATTAAATCTGCGTGTAAACTACTCAGAAATGAACAAAGAGAAGCCGGGGGACACGAGGGTTTTCCATTGGAGCAGACAGAGAATGCCTTCCTCTGTCCTGCACCTGGATTCTGACTTTCAGCCCCTCAACCTGTGAGAAAATAAGTTCTGTGTTTGAAAACCATCCACTCTAAAAGCATTTCTTTTAGAACAGGAAGGAGCTGAGACAAGAAACACTTCGTTTCAGTCAAGAATGTGCTGGTCTATAGGAGACCTGTATGGTGTTCCATGGGATGCCAGGGTGCCTCACACAGTCTATGGGGAGGAAAAACCCACTGGTCTTCTCATTCCGTTTTTCCATGAAGTGGAGCTGAAAGCTAAACTATTTTTAACCTCCCCTTCCCGACTCCCCAATGTCAACTTAAAAAAAAATAAGATTGGCTCTAGGAACCAGTTTTTGGTGTTTCTAATTGGACAATCTTCGAAGCATGGATTTGACCACAAGACAGCATGAGAACCACTTCACGCTGGAAAACCCGGGTTTCCAGTTGTCCGTCCGGGGCCCCCTGGCAAGCTCACCTTATTTTCCAGTGTTTCCAGACTCTCACTGCAGTTCCCTATGTTTGCATCTTGTAGCACTATCTCTCCGTCCTCGGTGAGGCTGCACAGCCGAGTTGCCTTTGGAGATCCAGCTTTAAGTAAAAAGAGTGTTTAAGAAGTGGAATGCTTGCTAAGATTTCCACAGCATCCCCCAGTTCTGTACCTTCAACCTCTTTGCAAAGGGACTTGGCAGGGCTCCAAGAAAAATCTCTGTGGCCATCAAGTTGATTTCCACTGGTGGTCTCCTACAGAGCATTTCTGAGATGACGTCTTTCCGGGGACAGTTCACTTTTCTCTCTCAGAGCAGTTGTTGGGTTTCAACTGCCCATCTGCGGTTAGTAGCCCCAAATACAGCCCACAAGAGGTGGACCCTATTTCTTCATACCTGAAGCTGGGTTGCCCTTGCCCTTGCCCTTGCGACTTGCTTTGACCAATAGGATGTGGAAGCAGTTACAGTGTGGTGAATCCCAGAGCCAAGGTTTCTCCAGAAACCTCGACGCATCAGTCCGAGCCCTCTTGGAACAGTGTCCTGGAATCCTCATGGACAGATGCAGATTAACTGACTGCCAGATGAGTGGGCAGGTAGAGGGGCACCAGACATATGAGGGGGATCATTTGGGAAGCTCTGCTGCCACAGTGAACCCACAGCGCTGTGAGAAATCTAAATCATTATTGTTTCAGTCACTAACTGTGGAATGGTTTGAGAACACAGCCATGAAGAAATGATTCAGACAATCTTTATACATATTTTAGGCTTGTGTCAGCAAAGGGCATGCAAAACATTTAGGGGAAATGATAGCATGATGAGCTCTAATTATTAGCACGATATGGCCATTGAGTCAATTCTGACTCCTGGCGACCCTATAGGACAGGGTAGTGGGTTTCCCAGACTGGAAGTAACTCTTTACAGGAGTCAAAAGCCCCATCTTTCTGCTGAGGAGCAGCTGGTGGTTTTGAATGGCTGATCTTGTGGTTAATATATTTCTATAGGCTATTTCCAGAAAATATTGCTCACAGAAGCATGGAAATAAAAAAGTTAAAAGTTATATAAAAAACAAAAAAATTAACTGGGCATTATCATGAGCAAATTTGAAAGAGGAACTACCACTTGCTACTTTATTTTGGAAGTAGATCAATTGGGTTGTCATAAAGAAGAAAATGGTCTTTTCTTTTATCAAGAAAGGTATGAAGAATCGAGAACTTTCCAAGCTAGACCACTAGAGCTAAAGCACCACGACCACGTATGCACTGATGGACTCTGCGCGCGTCTAGCTGGAAAGACGGAGTCTGGGCGTGAGGACGGTGGAAATTTATAACACAAACTTGGGACAAATTGTACAGAGAAACAAAAAGGAGACAGAACAATGTTTAAAAAATAATCTGAGAAGGATTTAAAGAGGGACTGATTCATTTGAATGTTTTGAGGAAAATTAAGATTATGGAAGGTGCCGGCCTCAATTTTGCCAACAAATTTGTCCTTTTCTGTTTGTAAAAACTAGGGTGACCCTTAAAATTGAGAACGATGAGACTTGGTCTCGGGTGGTTTGAACATGTTATCAGGAGAGATCAGCTCCTGGTAAGTGACGTCATGCTTAGAGGCTCAGCGGAATGGCTGCAACAATGGACTCAACGTCGCGGTGGCTGTGAGGGCTGAGATGGGGCAGGGTTACACTCTGGTGTACTAGAGTCAGAACTAACTCGGCAGAACCTAACACAACCATCACCCTCAGTTTTGAGGATGACAAAAAGGAGTCAAGTTCTTCCATCAAGCCTTGCTTATACTTGTGACCCGAGACGAGTTGTAGGAACTAGAGGTATCACAGCACAGGCTTCTTATCCCCAAACAAAGCGGTTAGAGAAAAACCACATACCATTTGGAGTGTTCTTTTCACATAGTTCTATGGAAGATCCATATCTTCCTGCTGGGATTTTTCTAAAAGTGAAATTCTGATAGCTGCTGTCATTGCAGAAATTAACTGTAACAAGAAGGAAAAATATATTCTTCATAAATATGTACTTTCCCCCACAAAAATGTGAGACCAATGAAAAGTAAAGTTCAAAACCCACCAGCATAATGTACAGAGTGGTTGAAGGGCCACGTGCCCCACTGACTTGCCAGGCGCTGCCACGCTTTTCTATGTAGTTCCTGTTACTGACATTGCAGTTTTAATAGTAAGTAAGGTAACAGGTGATCCCACTTCTACCCAGCTATATCTTATGCACAGCGATTCTTACACCTAAACCTTAAAGTATATATACCTGGGTAGAGTGGGATAACCTATTATCTACTCTTATGCATGATATATAACTGAGTAGAGATGGGCTGTGAACACTAGCACCCCAGCAAGGAATCATGTATCAGGTTCGTTGGGATCTTGAGAATTGATGACCTTTCAGTGGTAAGAGGCATCATGAGGACAAATCCAAGGAAAAAGGACTGAAGCCATTGGGCTCCTGTCATGTTCTGACTGGTTGGAATGAAGAAAGAAATAGAAATGGGGTTTCTAGGGCTCTGGGTCCTAAGTGCCCAACACAAAGTGTGCAGAGTACTGGAAAGTTGTGATATCTAAGGTTTATTGTGCCAACCTGGCTGATGAACACATGTGGGATTAATTGAAGAGCAGTTTAATTGAAGGGCAGAGATATAAATGGTCTTTTGTTCTCTGATGGTCAGACGAGTGTGTGGCTGCCTTACCTAGTTCTCTGCTCAGCTGACAAGGCTCACTTCCTGCAAGACATCCCTGAGGAGAAGCCACATGAACCTACCCCAATGTACCCCTGGGTGCTGGAGCAGCCGTGTGGAGACCCCTGCCAGCGTTGAGATGCTTACACATCCACTGACTCGGCTTTCCTCCTGTAGTCGGCATCATTGCGTCTGTTTTGTGAGATGGAGGAGGACTTTGTAGGTCAATGGGCGAATGTTGGACTTATGGGCTTGGACATCACTGGGTTGGGATGCATTCTTGTGTATACTTACCCTTTATATAAACTCTCTCTTATAAAAATATGAGTGTCTATGAATTTTGTTTCTCTAGTCTACCCAGACTAACTCAGAAGCATCCTTCAGGTCAATAAGTGAATTGAATCTTAATTTAAAGACACCATTAATAGAAGTAAAACCACTGATTTGATAGCAAATCTTCAAGGAAAAGAGAAAAAAACAACTCAAAAATGGAATGAATCTATATGAGTAGTCTGATAGGAAGCCACTTCCTGATTTCAGAATTGTTAAGTATGCTGGAATTGTGACATTTGCATTGGAGTCACATGGCAGGTCTAGCGGAATGAATCTTCAGAAAGCATCTCAAATTTTGCTTTCATTCAGACACCGCAGCCAAGAGAAATAAAATATAACTGTGGGTTTACAGAGAAGCTTGACATTTAGAGACAAACTGGGTATATTAACTGTTCAAGTCTGCCACCCAGGGAGAAAATTCATTAAAAATCAATAAGACATAGCTGTGGAACTGATAAACATTTTAATTACCATCATTTAATTACATTTAATTAGCCATCATTACCATGATGGCTAGTGTTTCTGTAATTGTTAACTGAGTCTTCCAGAAGCTTTGCTTCTGTTGTTATTGACAAAAGAGTCACCCAAATCTCACCCTGTGTATATTCCACGTGACTTACCGTGTGTGCACCTCAGACCTTTCCATTCGTCTGGACAGATACATCTGCCATTTTCCCAGGTTCCACCATTCCTACAGAACTCAGTTGGGGTGGTGGATGGGGCTCTTCCTAGAACGGCAATGAAGAACAAAATTATTAGATGAAGTAATCGATTCGTTTCTCCATTCGGGGTGGTAGCCATTTAGTCATTATTTGTAAGATTGTTCCTTTGAATATCATTGCATAAAAATACCGGGAGGGTGGAGGGAAGGTGGGGTAGAAGGGGGAACTGATTATAAGGATCTACATATAACCTCCTCCCTGGGGACGGACAACAGAAAAGTGGGTGAAGGGAGACGTCAGACAGTGTAAGATATGACAAAATAATAATAATTTATAAATTATCAAGGGTTCATGAGGGGGTAGGGAGGGGGAAAATGAGGAGGTGATATCAAGGGCTCAAGTAGAAAGCAAATATTTTGAGAATGATGATGGCAACAAATGTACAAATGTGCTTGACACAATCGATGTATGTATGTATGGATGGATTGTGATGAGTTGTACGAGCCCCTAATAAAAAGATTTTTTTTAAAGTCTCTATAATATCTTCATCAACAAAAATGTACACTGAAAATAGTCACTGGATATAAAATGCTTTTTAGGGGTTATGGACTTTGTAAGTATACTTAAATGACACAAACTTTGACCAAGAAGAGGAGACTAGCTTCAGTGAAATCGATTATATAGATAAGTGATGATTGATAAGCATATAGACAATGCAAATCAACATGCTGTAAGAACTCATAGGAGAGATGCTGGGGACTAGGCTAACGCAGAGAAGACTTTCCAGAAAGTATGGTATTAGAAGAAGGCTTTCATTTAAATGTAGAAAGGCCAGGTAAAGTGAGTGGCTCAATTAGGCAGGATGCCACATACAATATGGCAAAAACATGTAGACTGTTAAATCCAGGGAACAGTGAAGAGTTTAACATACATACATAATATATATAGAGATGCTTAATAAGGCTTTACGTAAACCCTTACAACTCAATGATTAAAAAACCAGATAACTCAGTTGAAAAGTAGGCAGAGAGCTAAATAAACATTTCTAAGAAGAAAAAAAAGTTACACAAATCACTGATAAGCACATGAGAAGGTGCTGAACATCATCACTCATGAAGCAAATGCAGATCAAAACGAGAGAGAAGTGTTGCTTCATCACCACTATCTTGCTATTTGGTGCCGTTGAGTTCTTCCCAACTCCCGGGGACCCTGTGTGCCACAGAACAACGCTGCCCTCCGGGCATCCTTGCCAGTCTTCTCTGGTGGAGCCCATCAGTTCATCTCATTCAGGGGCTTCCTGTTTGGCTGCCCCTCCATCACACGTGTCCTTCTCCAGGGATTGGTCTCTTCTGGAAACACGTCCAGGCAAAGTCTTGCCATCCTTGCCTCTAAGGAGCAGTCTGGCCTGGCTTCTTCCAAGACAGATCAGTTTGTCTTTTTAGCAGCCCATGGTCCTTTCGATATTCTTCTCCAGCACCACATTCAAATGCCTTGATTCTTCTTCAGTCTTCTTTATCAGTGTCCAGCTGTCACATCCATAAGAGGCCACTGGAAATACCATGGCATAGGTCAGGTGCACCTTACTCCTCAAAGTGACGTTGTTACCTTTCAATACTCCAAAGAGATCTTGTGCAGTAGCTTTACCTAATGCGACACATCTTTTTTGATCTCTTGACTGGTGCTTCCATGCGCTTTGATTGTGGATCCAACAAGACAAAATCCTTTACAATTTCAATCTTGTCTCTATCTGTCATGATACTACCCTTTGGTCTACTTGCAAGGCATTTGGTTTTCTTTACATTGAGTTGTAAGCCATACTGAGGGTGCAATCGTTAATCTTCACTAGTGAGTGCTTCAATTCCACCTCGCTTCCAGCAAGCAAGACGGGGTCATCTGCATGTTTAGGTTGTTAATTGACCTCCCTCTTATCCTGATACTGTGTTCTTCTTCATATAATCCAGATTCTCAGATTATTTGCTTGGCATATATGTTGAATAAGTATGGTGTGAGAGGGATACCACCCTGTCATATACCCAAGCAGGAAATATACAACAAAAACTATCCTTAGGCAGTGTGCTAGCTAGTCTAGTCTTAGTATAGATTGACAGTGTACAGAAGCTAGCTCACTTCTACTGGATTTGGATCCTGTATCTGCTCTGTCGATCTCTTTTTATATCACCTGCCAGCTCCAGGAGCCAGCAGCTGGGTGTGGACCTGGAATTCATTCAGCAGACTTCAGACTCATGCAACTCTGTATCCACCAGCCTGTGGTCTTCCTGCTTCATCTTCCTGCTTGCTGTTCATCAGCCCCTGCCGCTATGAGTCAGGGAAAACCTGAAGATTACGCCTTTCCTGGGGACTTGACCCAGAACTTACCCACTTTTAAAATCGTGTGAGCCATTTCTCAATATGATTCTCTTCCTATATACCTACACATACAATTGCCACTGAGTTTTGCTTCTCTAGAGAACCCAGCCTAACACAAGCACATCCCAGTTAAATAGCTATAGCTCAAAGACCAAGAGTGAGCATCCCACAAACAGCCAAGGGAGGGAAAACAACATCAAGGGGAACAATGACATCTCTATGTCTGATTGGTCATCAGTGTCAATAGAGACCAAAAGACATTCCAGTGCCACCTTTGAAGTGTCAAAGGGCAAAGCTATCCATCCAAAATGTGTCAGTCATTGAAGATACCCCTCATCACTGAGAAGATTATGAAAGTACTTTCATATAACCCAAACTTTAGAAAATGTGTGCTCAGCAGATCAGCAATACCACAAATATTCAGCATTCTTCAGGGGGACAGGACACGACAATAGGTGGAAATTTTGAGGTTCAGGAGGTATGGCAAATACTAGCTAGGGTAAGAAGTGGGCAAACATAAAAAATTAGTTAATTCTTAATTTTTAAAAATCTTAGTTCTCTGAAAGACAACTGAACATTTTAAAAGCAGAACAGCGTGTAATCGGATTTTTTATGTATTTGGATGTAAATAGGTAGCAACAATAGCTAAAAGATAGAGGGTAAATAGTACTGAACTGTTGTAATACTATCTGATATGTGGTAAGTGGCAAAAAAGCAATTCTAAGTGGACCAGGCTGTTAAAAATAACATGTCTATTCTTCTCAAAGGAACCCTGGTGGTGTAGTGGGTTACACGTTGGGCTGCTAACCACAAGGTCTGTAGCTCAAAATAACCAGCCCCTTTGCAGGGAAAATATGAGGCTTTCTACTCCTGAGAAGGTGTACAGTCTTGGAAATCCACCGAGTCCATTCTACCGTGTCCTATCACGTTGCTACGAGTAGGGTTGGCTCGGTAGCAGTGAGTTTGGGGATTGCTCTGGTTTTGATTGTGCTGGTCTCCTCAAAGGACCCCTGGGAGCACTAACAGTTCACGCCCCTCCTCCCCTACACACTGGCGGCTCATCCGCATCTAGGAGCAGCAAGCCGTGGGAGAAAGTCTTCATGGCCTGCTTCCATGAAGATTCCAGCCCAGAAAACCCACTGGATCACTTTCACGCCATAGCCCTGGGCGTCACCACGAGTCAGAATGAACTTGCTGGCAAACAGGTTTGGGCTTTTTCCTTTATCTTTTCTTTCTCTCCTCTCCAAGATGTGATAGTAAAAATCTTGGAATATTTCTCTTAGTTGAAAATCTTTATCAGCATGCAAAGGGCCAGGAAACGCCAAGGTAAACTTCTGAAAGAAGAGAAGTGATAGCTTACTCAACAGTCCTAATTTTAAAACTTTAATAAACTTCAGGGATCCAGGCAGGTGTCAATGTGCTATTGGAATAGAAAGCGACAGGTAAATTATTCAAAGAGAATAAAGATTTTACCAAAACGTAAAACTGATATGGCCTACTGATGTTTTTCCCCCAAAGATGCCAACACAATTCAATTAGGAAAGAAAAGTTTTCAATAAATGGTACTTGTGAGCAGAATAAACACAACATAATCAAAGCACAGCTTAACATGGATAACAAACCTCAAAACTAGAAAGCTGTAATATGAAACCAAAGGAATTCTTGCAATTTCAGGGACTCATAGAACCGAGTGGGCTTCTATGAAAGTCACGGCAAGCAAGGTCAAGTGTGATAGCTGGGTTTTATGTCAAGACTGCGGGCTAGGATTCTAAGTGGTGTGGTAGTTGAGGTCTGGTAATCCCTCATGCTATGACCTAATATAATGTACCCAACCAACGCCACGATGGGATCTGCTATGAGTGACCAAGAAGAGTCGAGTGGAATGCATCCCCCTAACTCAGGTCAAAGCCCTGATGCAATCGAAAGGCAGTTCTTTGGGGGTGCAGCCTACTTCATCTATCAATAGATGCTGTGGACGGACAGCTTGCTTGCTTTGTGCCGGTCTTGATCCTGCATCTGGCTTGTCAACCTCTGGTTCTTTGGACTTGAGTCACTAGCCCGCCACATTGCCTGCTATTTACAGAGAAATGGGTAGGTAAGCCACAAGTTGGTACCAGGGCTCAGATCCTGCGGTTACTATTTAAGTACTCCTAGCCCCTCATCACAGTGCCTGACTCTACCCCAGTGAGCTGCAACCTCCACTTTGTTTTCCAAATGCAGCAACGTGCTGGAATATATTTATAACAGCATTTTCCTCTATTAATACTGAAAATCCAAACCCAAACAGTGCCACTGAGTCAATTCTGACTCACAGCGACCGTCTAGGACAGGGTAGAGGTGCCCCTGTGGGTTTCCAAGACTGTGAATCTCTTTAGCAGCAGAAAGCTCCACCTTTCTTCCCCAGATCTACTGGCTGTTTCGAAACCTTGTGGGCAGCAGCTCCTTTTTCTTATATCAGTATGTCAATAATTATATTTTCCTATTTTAAAAATATAATAAATACTATTAAAAATATAAAACCTATTTCCAACGCTTTTACTGAACATCTTGAAAAATTAAACATAGAACACACATACTTCATGCTACTTGAAAAAAATAGCATGAAATCGCATTTAAAATTCTAAATGGAAAAACAATAATTTCTTCTCCTAATGTAATAAAGAAGTATGTAGTTTGTTTTGAAATTTCTAGATTTGGTTATGTGGGGTAATAAAACCTTTTTCTCCATCACAGAAATTTCATTTGGAGAATTTTTATAATATTTGGCATATATATATATATATATATTTCTTGAAGTTTAAAATCCAGTTATTTATCATATGTTCCAGACGAGGGATTTTAAATGGGTGTGCGAGAATAGATTTTAGTGTTAAACCAAAACCAAGCTCACTGACATTGAATTGTTGCCAACTCATAGTAACCCTATAAGAGAGGGTAGAACTGCCGCCAAGAGTTTCTGAGACGGTAACTCTAGGGACTAGAAATCTCTGGTTTTCTCCCAGGAAGCAGCTGGTGGTTTTGAACTGCTGGCCTTGTAGTTAGCAGCCCAAAGAAGAGCAACATGTCTTAAAGTTTATTCAATTGTGAAAGCAAAAAACCTGAAAACTGTGTACAAATGAAATTCATTCAATACAGCCTTGATTTAAGGGAAAGGTTGGTCATTATTAACTACTTGTTTAAATAGTTCAATAAATTGGTTAAACGGTTTCATAAGATTCCCTCCTGATGGTGGAACATAGTATAAATATTGTAAAGCAATGGTAAAATATATGGCAGTTCATAGAACTGTTTCCGTTTTGAAGTAGTCAGTTAAAATTAATGATTAAACCTATTGTACACCTAGAGTTTGATAACCTGAGTATCAATCACAAGTTCAATCCAGCCAGTAGTTTCCACAGCTCCAGGTCTAACTCATGGTGGGGGAACCTATTCCAGCCAGTAGTTTCCACAGCTCCAGGTCTAACTCATGGTGGGGGACCCTATTCCAGCCAGTAGTTTCCACAGCTCCAGGTCTAACTCATGGTGGG